GAAGAATTCATGACTTAAGTACTGTACCCTGCTCTAAGTCCTGCTTGAAATCCTGTTGTTTAGTGCAGAAAGTCATACTAGAACAGGCCCACTGAATTACTGGAAATTTGGTGAACTAATTCCTCTGTAGGTTTCATAGATTCAAATGGGGTGACGCTAGTCTAGTCTTGACTTCCTATGATAAATGACAACGTTCAGCTGAAGCTGCTGCCTTCTATTTGCCATAGTCCCTGGGATTCACTGCAAATCATAGGAATTCTCTTGGCAGCCTTGCAACCCTCACTGAAGTCATGATCTTCCCCACCCCCATGCCATGTGGACCAATAGCAAGGAGAGCAGCAGGGAGAAATATGTGGAAGGAAGAGGACAAGGCAGATCACCCTGGAGACCTCCATTCTTCATAATGCATATTCTATCTCAAAGCAGCCAGAGTTTATTTTCCTTAAATTATTGCCACATTTTTTCAGCCATAATTATTAAATACTTTGCTCATGACCTCATTTGGGAGGGGGATCTGCAACTTGGGGAATTCAGGCACCATTCTGTCATTTCTGGTATCTGAAATAAATAAATAAATAAGGCGGCCACCTTTGCTTCTGAGCAGTAGGGCACAGAACAGATGTCTGAAAACTGCCTTACCAAAAAGCAAATAAATTGCCGGACAAAAGCTATTTCGTTTTTCTAAGCCCTTATTTCACTCCTAAACCCTTTCCTTTCCTTAAACAAACAGCGATATTTCACCATAAACTTCAACTCCTCGGCTTTCTTTCTCCTTAAACTTTGCATATATATAATTCTTTTTCTTTTTTTGTTTTTTAGTAAAACTTTTACCTACTTCCCTGGGGGACACTAAAATCAAGCCATTTCTTGTTCTCAGTCCCAGGCTGAGAGCAACACAACATTATCCCACTGCCCCATCTCGCTTCAGTTCTCTGCTTGGCGGCGGCGGCCACCCTGGCCTGAAGCAGCCTGTCCCTGGGACCGGTTCCTGGCATGGCCCCTGCATCCTCCTCCCTCCCCTTCTCCCCAAAGCCAGACTTTTGCTGAAAACCACAGGTGCCTGACTCCCCACCCCCCGGCTCAGGCTCCTGGTTTTTTTTGCTGCTGCAGCGGCTGGAGAGCAGAAGCTTGGAAAAAGAAGCTCTCTTGCTTGATCTCCTGCCTCCATCTGGAGCCCCGAGGTGATCCCTATCAGGATGGCAAAGGCGATGAGGCTGTTTGCCAACTGCAGGTGGGGAGGGAGAGAGAAGAGGCGAGATGAGGGACTTGGTGCAGAAAGGGGCCAAAAACTGGGCACCCCTTCGGCCTCTTCTCGCCCCCCAATCCCTATCCTGATGCGTGCGCATGCACCCCATCCAGCAGCCCCCTCACCATCTTGCTGGCTTCTGTGGCGGTGGCAGCTGGCTGGATTTCCAGGTGACGGAGGAGGCGCGTCTTGGCTCTGCCCGCCCATCTTGCTTACAAACTTGCTGGTCATGGATGCCTGGAAGGGGAAGGCAGCAGCGGTGACGCCAACGGG